TTTTTTTTTTTTTTTTTTTTGAGTCAGAGTTTTGCTCTTGTTGCCCAGGCTGGAGTGCAGTGGCGCAATCTCAGCTCATGGCAACCTCCACTTCCTGGTTCAAGTGATTCTCCTGCCTCAGCCTCTCGAGTAGCTGGGATGACAGGCATGCACCACCATGCCTGGTTAATTTTATATTTTTAGTAGAGACGGGGTTTCACTAGGTTGGCCAGGCTGGTCTTGAACTCTTGACCTCGTGATTCACCCGCCTTGGCCTCCCAAAGTTCTGGGATTACAGGCATGATCCACCATGCCCAGTCAGAATTTTCATTTTTTAGTCACTAAAAATGTTGGTGTATAACTTACTGAGGTATAACTTACTGCTTACATATATCTAGCTTATATAATCATACTTAGTACTTATATCTAGCATACTTAGTTCCATATACTCTTTCTATATAATCATATAGTAGTCGGCGCTGTACTGACACGTTTAGTGCTGATTTATATAATCCTTCTATGTAACCATATAGTAGTTTGTAGTAGGAGGGATGCCTAGAGCAGTCACAGAACAGAAGCAGTACATGGAAAAACAGCCAGACCAGGACAAGAACCAAAGACCCAGGCAGTGGCGTCCCTGCCTGAAAGGGCATACGCTGTATGGCAGGCTTGGAGCAAGAACCTTGTAGTACCTTGCATCTAGTTCCTGTGGAAAGTAGGCCTCAGGCCTGAGATTCCACAAATAGTTAACTGAGGGAGAACCCCTCTGATGTGACTGGGTCACAGCGGCTGTAAACCTTGTCAGCCTTTTCTCGCTTCTGTGCTATCTCAGATCATCCTCCCATAAATATCTTAGACAAGAGCACAAGTCTGTCAGCTCCCACTGCATTGACTTACAGTATCTTTCTATTAGAAATCCTTTGAAGTTTCCAGATAAGAAGTGTTGCACACGACACCTGTTGCATACAGCCCACCTCCTTGCCTCGGTGATCTAATAGGGATGGACCCCTTTTCTGTACACGACCCTCTACTATGCATGGCCCACCTCTTTCCCCCAGTGACATAAGGGGGTGATTGTTACTTGCTTGTTACTCACGTGATTGTGTATGCCCTATCACTAAGTCTATAGATGATGACCTCACTTACGACCCTTCCCCCTGCTTGTACCTAATAAATACAGACACTTCTGGACGTGTGGGCGGGCCAGTCTCTGCTCATAGGTGGCATGGCCCCCCCAAGTCCAGCTGCTCTTCTTCAGTTCGTCAGTGTCCTGTCTCTTTACTTCTCAGATCCTGCTTCTCAGCACAGTATAAGGGATACCCCACGACCCTTTGGGACCAACAGCCCCTTAGGAGCCTTGCCCTCTGTCTGCTCTAAGGACTGGTCCCAGAATGAGAAAATTTTAGACAGTCCCCCAAAACATGTTCATGTCACCCCAGAAAACCTGTGAATATGTTATATTACATGACAAGGGAGAATTAAGGTTGCATGTGGCAGTAAGGTTGCTAATGAGCTGACCTTGGGATAAGGAGATGATCCTAGATTATCCGGTGGACCCAATGTAATCAGAAGGGTCCTTAAATGTGGAAGAGTGAGGTGGTGTGTGAAAGACTTGACCAACTATCGCTGGCTTTGAATACAGAAGTGGGTCATGAGCCAGGGACTGCTGGCAGCCTTTGGGAGCTGCAAAAAGCAAGGAAATGGATTCTCGCCGGGAGCCTCCAAAAGGAATTCGGTCCTGCCGACCCCAGACTTCTGTCCTCCAGGACTGTAAGAAAATAAATTTGTCTTGTTTTCAGCCCCGTTACCGCACCAGTAGGAAACTAATACACCTCTCTGCTCCTGTTTATAACTTTGTCCCTATCTGAAATCCCAGCACCTGGGAGTATTCACAGCTATCCATGGACTGACCTCACCCCAACCTGGAGTTCAATAGTGGGCCCATAGCACTGGCCAGGCTTTCCATCTCTTCTGGGTGGAGGCCAGGCTGTGAGTTTCTCAACATTTGTTCACTCTGATTCCAGTACCAGCCCCCAGTATTTTGGAGTCCCACACCTTATCTATTCTCAGTAAAGTGGTTCTGGTGGAGTGGAATCTATTCTATCCTTAGGTTTGGGTGATTTAGGGCCAAGCCTTTCAGCACAGTCATCCATCTGGCGATAGTGAAGGGAATTTTTTGGTTTTCGCAGGACAGAAATCAGAAAGGGTCCTGGACTTAACGTTACACAGGCCAGTAAATTCCTTCTTTATTTAAGCTAGTTTGAATAGTCTTTTACGTGTATCATATTCCCCACCCTCCAGCACTTTGTTATGAATTTTTTTTTTTTCCTGAGACAGAGTCTCACTCTGTCACCCAGGCTGGAGAGCAGTGGTGTGATCATGGCTTACTGCAGCCTCAACCTCCTGGGCTCAAGCAATCCTCCTACCTCAGCCTTCTGAGTAGTTGGAACTACAGGTGTGCCTCTCCACATCCCACAGATTTTTTTTTTTTTTTTTTTTTGAGACGGAGTTCCACTCTTGCTACCCAGACTGGAGTGCAATGGCGCGATCTTGGCTCATTGCAACCTCCGCCTCCTGGGTTCAAGCAATTCTCCTGCCTCAGCCTCCCAGGTAGCTGGGACTACAGGCACGCGCCACCATGCCCATGATCAGAAGCTCACTTGAGGGCAAAATGGAGGACAGATTAGAGAGCGAGGGGGTGGAAACCAGTCATGGAGGAGGTTCTCGTGTTAGTTCAGGAAAGCTGCCCAGCTAATTTTTGTATCTTTAGTAGAGATGAGGTTTCTTCCTGTTGACCAGGATGGTCTCGGTCTCTTGACCACGTGATCCACCCACCTCGGACTCCCCACAGATTTTTAATTTAATTAATTAATTTTTTTGAGACAGTCTTGCACTGTCACCCAGGCTGTAGTGCAGTGGCGCTATCTCATCTCACTGCAATCTCCACCTCCTGGGTTCAAGCAATTCTCCTGCCTCAGCCTCCTGAGTAGCTGGTACTACAGGCATGTGCCACCACATCCAGCAATTTTTTTTGTATTTTTAGTAGAGACACAGTTTCACCATGTTGGCCAGGATAATCTCAATCTCGTGACCTCGTGATCTGCCCGCCTTGGCCTTCTATTTATTTTTTTTGAGATGGAGTCTCGCTCTGTTGCACAGGCTGGAGTGCAATAGTGCAATCTTGGCTCACTGCAACCTCCACCTCCTGGGTTCAAGTGATTCTCCTGCCTCAGCCTCCAGAGTAGCTGGGATTACAGGCGCCTGCCACCACATCCAGCTAGGTTTTTTTTTTTTGTACTTTTGGTAGAGACAGGGTTTCATCATGTTGGCCAGGCTGGCCTCGAACTCCTGACCTCAGGTGATCCACCTGCCTTGACCTCCCAAAATGTTGGGATTACAGGTGTAAGCCACCACACCCAGCCAATTTTTTTATTTTTAAAAATGTTTTGTAGTGATGGAGTCTACTATGTTGTCCAGGCTGGTCTCCAACTCCTGGGCTCAAGTGGTCCTCCTGCCTCAGCCTCCTAAAATGCTGGGATTACAGGTGTGAGCCACTGTATCAGCCATGAAAAATTTCAGTATATAGCAACCTGAGAAGCTGTTGCTCAGGGAACCTTGTGATCAGAAGCTCACTTGAGGGCAAAATGGAGGACAGATTAGAGAGCGAGGGGGTGGAAGCCAGTCGTGGAGGAGGTTCTCGTGTTAGTTGAGGAAAGCTGACAACCAAACAGGAGCAAAGGATGGAAAAGAGAGATGGGAGTGGGATTCACCTGGACTTGATCCAAGATGGTGGTTTTGATGAAGTGAAGCGGGTAGGATGTGGGTGGATGCTGGATGTACATGTTTCCGGCTTGGCCACCTGGATGGGCAGTTAAGGCAGTCCTAGAGGTAGAAAACGCTGGAGGGAGATTGGAAGTTGAAGGACTGTTGAGTTCAGGTGGGCCATTCTGGACATTCTGTTCAGGCTGGACATGGGAGCTGTGAAAATAGTCATGAAGGAAAAGGTAGAAGGTGAAATCACTCTAACGGCTGATAGAGACAGCCTGAGCTTGTCTCTACCTGGCTCCTATCACACTATTGACATCATGACTGCTGGCTTTTTGGAACCCCACTCACGCCTCTTGCGGGCACCAATCTTGTTTTTGAAATCCCCTTTACTTTATAGCCTGTGGCCTGGAATGGACTAAAAGTTTGAGTGAATATATGAGTATTGGCCAGGCACGGTGGCTCAAGCCTGTAATCCCAGCACTTTGGGAGGCCGAGGCAGGTGGATCACGAGGTCAAGAGATCGAGACCATCCTGGTCAACATGGTGAAACCCCGTCTCTACTAAAAATACAAAAAATTAGCTGGGCATGGTGGTGCGTGCCTGTAATCCCAGCTACTCAGGAGGCTGAGGCAGGAGAATTGCCTGAACCCAGGAGGCGGAGGTTGCGGTGAGCCGAGATCGCGCCATTGCACTCCAGCCTGGGTAACATGAGTGAAACTCCGTCTCAAAAAAAAAAAAAAAAAAAGAATATATGAGTATTAAAGATGGAAATGTGAGGCACCCTCCCTTTACATTTAGAGGCTCTGGGAGAAAGTGCCAAAGTGAAGGGGACTGAGGAGAAATTGGTAGATCAGAATAGAACATGGCGGAACCTAGATCAGGGAGGTGGGAAGTGAAGGGAGGGGAGAAGACAGAGTGCGCATAATCTATCTGTCCCATGGTCCAGGGACTCCAGTATAGCCCAAGGAGTCAGGCAGGTGATATGGCTCTGTCCTGGTGCTGACATAAAAGGTAACTGGCTACGTTGTCTCTATAATCAGAGGGCTGAGGGGCCTCAGAGTGTAACTGTGGGGCATTAAGTGCAATGTGAGGGACCAAAGGTCTTTTCTTCTGGGTCACATCCAGCTCCGGCCCCTGTCAGCTTTCCCTATTTCCATTTCCCCACTGAACACCCAGTGAGGGCTAAGTAAAGACTTGGAGTTTGCTTTGAAATAAAGGCACATGCGGCCAGGTGTGGTGGCTCATGCCTGTAATCCCACACTTTGGGAGACTGAGGCAGGTGGATTACGAGGTCAGGAGTTTGAGACCAGCCTGGCCAAGATGGTGAAACCACGTCTCTACTGAAAATACAAAAATTAGACAGGTGTAGTGGCATGTGCCTGTAATCCCAGCTACTCGGGAAGCTGGAAGCTGAGGGAGGAGAATCGCTTGAACCCAGGAGGGCAAAACTCACTGCGGCTGTTGCAGTGAGCTGAGATTGTACCATTGCACTCCAGCCTGGGTGACAGAGTAAGACTCCATCTCAAAAAAATTAAAAAAAAGAAAGGAAGGGAGGGAGGGAGGGAGGGAAGGGAAGGGAAGGAAAGTAAAGAAAGAAAGAAGAAAGAAAGGAAGGAAAGAAAGAGAAAGAAAGAAAGAAAAAGAAAGAAAGAGAAAGAAAGGAGGGAGGGAAGGAAGGAAAGAAAGAAAGAAAGAGAAAGAAAGAAAGGCAGACACATGCTGGCCAGAGATAGAAAGGCAGGGAGACTCTTTTAGCAAATGTATGTAGGTCCCAGGGCTCCTGCCAGACTCCAGGCCGAATGCTGAGTTTTCTGTTCTCACAGCCAGGTAAGCACAGATGGAGGTAAGAGGTGAGGAGAGGGGCAAAATGATCACCTGTCGTCTAGTCATGAGGCTTTCTGGATCAGGAGGGATTTCAGCAATTGTCTAAATCTAGAAGAGATGGGGGTGGGGGGTGACGGGTGACATGAAATGTGTGAAGAGTGTCTGCAGGAGAGAGATTGGGAAGGAGGGACAGGTGAGTGGGAGATGGAGTCTTGGGGCGAGGTTCATGGCATCCCTAGGGGCTCCCCAGGAACTGGTTGAATAGGCTCTAGCCCCAGGACATCAGGCCTTTACAATGGAGGATTTGCTGTGGTTGTTAGGAGGAGGAGGACAATATTCCTGTTGCAGGGAGTTAGCTCACAACCATCAATGAAGGTCATAAAGATGAGCAGTTCACAAAACTCCTATACCCTTGTTTCTCATTTAATGCCTGCAAAATCCCTGTAAAGCATAAAACAGGCTCACAAAAGGAGAGTCCCAGCTAAGAGCAGTGGCTCACACTTATCATTCCAGCACTTTGGGAGGCTGAAACAGGAGGGTCCCTTGAACCAGTCCCAAGACCAGTCTGGATAACATAGTGAGACTCCATCTCTACAAATAATTTTAAAAATTAGCCAGGCATGGTGGCATGAGCCAGTGATCCCAGCAACTTGGGAGGCTGAGGTGAGAGGATCATCTGAGCCAGGGAGGTGGAGGTTGCAATGAGCTGAGATCATGCCACGCCACTGCACTCTGACCTGAGCAACAGAGCAAGACCCTGTTTCAAATAATAATAAAGGAGTCCCTTAGCGAGGAAGTGGTGGAGCTAGGAGATGAGTTCCAGGTCCCAAAGAAGCCAAAGGCCACAGGCTGTTTACCCTGTGTCCCAAGGTAGGGGAATCAGGCAGAACTGGAATGTGTGCTGTCTGGTTGCCCAAAAACCTATCCAGGCTTACAGCCCAGTTGGGAGAAATCATAAAACATCCTCCACAGCCTACATTGAGCAAAACAAAACTTGATTTTGAGGGATTGTGCAGGAGTGGGAAGAGGAAAGACTGTTGTGGGAGTCAGGATAGCCAGGTTCCACCTCGACTGGGCCCTTGCCGCTTGTGTGTTATTGAATCTCTCTGAACCACAGTTTTCTCATGTATAAAATGGGGATAGAAGCCCCTACCTCCTAGGAATGATGTGTGGACTCAACAAGAGAATGCACTGTTGTTCTGAATGCAGTACAGGGCACATAGCAAGCGCTCAGTACTCCTTGTGTTTTATTATTACCGTTGTTAATACAAGGAGGTTGGGCTGCATAGCTGCTCATTCAGGCCCTGGCTGCTGTGGCTAGAGCCCTGCTGCCCACAGCTCAAGCTGGGCCTGTCCACCCTTGAAGGACTCATGATGCAGCATCAGGGAGTCCCGGGTCGTGCCTCTGCAACCTCCAAGTCGGCAGCAGCAGTGCATCCGCTTAGACCACAAGGCTGGATGGAGTGTGCTGACTTCTGCTCTCCCAACGAGTACTAGGCTAGGAGAGGAAGGAAGGTGAGCGCTTAGAAAGAAAAAACGTGTTGGCTTGAACAGAAATGACATTAAGCTATCGTGGAGGTAAAGGAGAGGGGTTGAGCCGATCAGGAATCCAGGCAACCTGGCCCTATTTGCCAGTGTCCACTTTCTCTTTTTGGTCGCTAAGGGCAAGTGCCCGTGACAAACATGGCGACGGCAGCCTCAAGCGCGGTCACCTGCCAGAGCTGCGGTCCCAGGGGCCTCGCGGGGCCAATCGTTGGAACGCCGCGAAGGGAGAGGCTGGGGAAGCCCTAGAAGCACGCGCAGGCGCACCGGCTCGCACCTGGCTCCCGCCAGGCGCGGGATTAGGATTCGCCTGCTACGACTGCGGTGAGAGGCTGGCTAGGGGCTGGGGCACGCGGGCTGGAGAGGGCTGGGCTGGGGCCGATCTGGCACAAACGACAGGCCCAAGGGGGAGGGGAATGCTTTGCGCTCTGGAAGTCATAGGGTTTGTCTGTGGGGGTCTTTGGGGTGATCATATTTTGGATTGGGAGAGTTCTGTGGTCGGGGCGGAAGAAGCGGGGTTCAAGTGGGCAAGGGTGGAATCCTCGCAGAAGGGCTCTCCCGGGGTGTAAAAAAAGGGATGCAGTGGATCAGATAGCTCCCTGGCTGTCTGGGATCGAGGAATGCACTGGTCAGGCCGGTATCCGTTTCATTAGCATAAAGGCGTTTAACCCTGGTGGCACTTGAGGAGCTTTAAAAAAAAACACCGATGCTGGGCCCGCCCCGAAAGATTCCTACTTAACTGTTCTAGGTGAGGCCTGGGCCTTGGTATCATTGCACAGCTCCGCAGGTGATTTTAACATGCAGGCGGTGGGGAGCATGTGTTTCAGCACCAGCTATTGAGTGAAAAGCTCCTGGGTTGATCCCAAACTCATCAGTGGCTTGGTAGGGGCAGGTGGTCCTGAGGTCGCAGCTCTAGGGACCTGAGGGGAAGGGGGAGGGAGAAGTCTCCATCTCAACAAGTTGAAAGCTCATTTCCAGCGGAAGAGGAGGATGGACCCCCCCATCCCCCAACCCTGGGGCTAGGCCCTACTGTGCCGAGACTCGGCAGGGAAACAAGACCCTGAGAGTAAAGCAGGAAGCACATCAGACAATTCAGAGGTCAGCTACCTGTTAAGAAAAGGGCACATTGGGTAGTATACCTTTAATGTTCATTTGGTATTTCTGAGGACAGGCAGAGAATGGAATTGTTTTCTCTGCTTCACAGATGTGGGAATAGACTTAGAGAGTAAGTTAAGAAAAATATTCACACCTGACCTAGGGCTCCAGACTCCAAATTATGCCTATTCGTAGCTTTTCCCTCTGCACTAATGCCTCTTGTACAGTCTGATGCCCCTCACTCCAGGGGCTCAGTCTGGTATTCTTGGTTTCCTCCACTAAATTCGTCAGCCTCCCCAACCCACCATAGGTTGGTTCAGAAATCAGGGAGACGCTGCTGTGTCCATCCCTTTCTAGTCTTACCTCCCAGGGGCCTGATAGGGTGGAGGGGAAGAGTTTTGACAGCTGCCGGAGGGCTCCCTCCAAACAGACCTGATTCTGTCACTTCCCCACCCCCAGTGCCCCACTTGTCCTCAGCCTAGAATCTTGTGCAAGGTTTACAAAACCCTTCCTGATGGGCCCCTTTCTCCCGCGCTGCTCTGAGCTCTCTTCCCAGATTGTTTCTGTGTCTCTTGGCACAGTGCTGTGCACCCGGCGAAAGCTTAATAAATGTTCCTCTGTTATGATCACTATTCTTCTTTGTATCTGTTGCCTTGCTTTCGTGTCTTACTCAGAGAGGCACATCAAGCCTCCCAGGCTGCCCCTTCTCTCTGACTCCCATAGTCAAGCAGAACACAGAGCTAGGGGCACAGTGGGGTCTGGGGATGACAGTTTTCCTGTGACTGCTGCTACTGTTCCCTAGGGCTGAGGATGCTCATATTGACCTTTTAGGGGCAAATCGACCCAGCAGGGATTGACTAAGCACCTACTGCATGGTGAGGGAGCCTGATGGAGGCAAAGGACAGGGATCAAGAGCGGGACTAACCCAGCCCCGCTTTTAAGAAGCCTGTGGGCTGGAGGAGGGACAGGGAGGCATTTGGATGGCTGATAAGAAGGACTCAGCGCCTGAAAACCGGAGAGAACATCTGATTGGGTGTTCTTGGGAAAACCATGACACTGGATAAGCAGGATTTGATAAGATGGGGAGGAATGTGGGGGCATGATGAAGTGAGAATGCTGTGGTTTTAGTCATAACCTGTATTTTTTTTTTTTTTTTTGGACGGAGTTTCGCTCTTGTTACCCAGGCTGGAGTGCAATGGCGCAATCTCGGCTCACCGCAACCTCTGCCTCCTGGGTTCAGGCAATTCTCCTGCCTCAGCCTCCTGAGTAGCTGGGATTACAGGCACGTGCCACCATGCCCAGCTAATTTTTTGTATTTTTAGTAGAGACGGGGTTTCACCGTGTTGACCAGGATGGTCTCGATCTCTTGACCTCGTGATCCACCCGCCTCGGCCTCCCAAAGTGCTGGGATTACAGGCTTGAGCCACCGCGCCTGGCCCAGTCATAACCTGTTTTGAATCTTCACTCCAGCACCTTCTAACTCTGTGACTTAGGCCAGTGATTTAATCTTCAGAGCCTTGGTTTCTTCATGTATAAAATGTGAATGGAGATAGTAACAGAGCTGTAAGGGGTCATGATATGGATGTGAAAGCTAAGCATACCTTGTATGGCTACAACTGTGGTGAGAGGCTAGTCAGAGGCCGGGGGTGCTTGCAGCCAGGAGAGGGCTGGGCTGGGCTGGGCTGATCTGACACAAATGACAGGCCCAAAGGGGAGGAATAGTAGATAGTTATCCTAGGGTATCTTAGGTGGCAGGAACAGCATGAACAAAAGTGTAGAGGTAGCATTTAAAAAGGAATTTGAGGTGGGTGCAGTGTCTCACGCCTGTAATCCCAGCACTTTGGGAGGCTGAGGCAGTGAATCACAAGGTCAGGTGTTCGAGACCAGTCTGCTCAACATGGTGAAAGCCCCGTCTCTACTAAAAATATAAAAAATTAGCTGGGTGTAGTGGTAAGCGCCTGTAGTCCCAGCTACTCAGAAGGCTGAGTCAGGAGAATCACTTGAACCTGGGAGGCGGAGGTTGCAGTGAGCTGAGATCGTGCCACTGCACTCCAGCCCTGGCAATAGAATGAGATTCTGTCTCAAAAAAAAAAAAAAAAGGGAATTTGAGGGATGGCAGACGAGTCAGACTAGGGTATTTCAGGTGGCAAAAGACATAAAGGTTGGTTGCTGGAAAGACAATTTCAGTCATAGATGTGGCAGAGAGGTCAATGAATTTTACTTTTGATTGATGTTGCCCCAGCTGGTCTCTAACTCCTGGCCTCAAGTGATCCTTCTGCCTTGGCCTTCCAAAGCGCTAAAATTATAGGCATAAGCCACCGCACCCTGCCTAATGATTGATCTTTAAAGACCCTGAAACTGCATGCTGTCTCATACCTGTAACCCCAACACTTCAGGAGGCCAAGGCAGGCAGATCGCTTGAGGTCAGGAGTTGCCAGCCTGGCCAACGTGGCAAAACCCCGTCTCCACAAAAAATACAAAAATTAGCCAGGTATGGTGGCACATGCCTGTGATCCCAGCTACTCAGGAAGCTGAGGGAGAAGGTGGAGGTTGCAGTGAGCCAAGATCCTACCACTGCACTGTAGCCTGGGTGACAGAATGAGACTCCATCTAAAAATAAAAATAAAAACAAACAAACAAATATTATGAAACCAAACTTCAGAGACATGGAAAGAAAATAGCTACTGTGGGCTGGGCGTGGTGGCTCACGCATGTAATCCCAGCACGTTTGGAGGCTGAGGCAGGCAGATCACTTAAGGTCAGGAATTCGAGACCAGCCTGGCCAATATGGCTAAACCCTGTCTCTACTAAAAATACGAAAATTGACTGGACATGGTGACTCACACCTGTAATCCCAGCACTTTGAGAGGCCAAGGCAGACAGATCATGAGGTCAAGAGATTGAAATCATCCTGGCTAACACGGTGAAACCCCATCTCTACTAAAAATACAAAAAATTAGCCGGGTGTGGTGGCACATTCCTGTAGTCCCAGGTACTCCGGAGGCTGAGGCAGGAGAATCACTTGAACCCAGGAAGTGGAGGTTGCAGTGAGTTGAGATTGTGCCACTGCACTTCAGCCTGGGTGACACAGCAAGACTCTGTTTCAAAAAAAAAAAAAAAACAACAAAATTAGCCAGACGGGGTGGCAGGCACCTGTAATTTCAGTTACTCAGGAGACTGTGGAAGGAGAATCACTTGAACCAGGGAGGCAGAGGTTGCGGTGACCTGAGGTTGGGCCACTGCACTCCAGCGTGGGCAACAGAGCGAGACTCCATCTTAAAAATAAAATAGCTTCTCTATATTGAGGGTCTTCTATGTAGCAGGCACTCGGTGCTTTATATTCCTCTTGCATTTCAGCCCACAGCTACCTTAGAGGTTGACATTAACATCCCCACTTTGTGGGCGAGGAGACTGAGGATCAGGGAGAGGGAGTGGCTGGCTCAAAGCCACCAGCTGAGACCATGAGGGTAGGTCTTGGAAGGTGCCAAGGAGGTGGGTGGAGCTGGTTGCAGGTTACAGGATTTCTCACCAGCTTATGCAAGGAGGCTGGTGCGGGCTCCAAGCTGTTCTTTCCTGGGAGAGGTGGGGCTGCTGTTCTCTGCTGAGGCAGATTGAGGGTGGGGAGGGCAAGTGGGGGAAGGCTGTTTCTTGATGGAGGAGTGGAATCTGGAAGAGAAACCACGGAAAGAGTAACCCTGCACACTCCTCCCTCAGCTTTATCTCCAGGGTGGCTGTTCACCTGGACAAGTTGTTTTGCCTCCAGCACAGGTTGAGATGGAGACTCGCTCTGTGGCCAGGGCTGGAGAACAGTGGTGTGATCTGGGCTCGCTGTAACCTCTGCCTCCCAGATTCAAGCAATTCTCTTGCCTCAGCCTCCTGAGTAGCTGGGATTACAGGCATGTGCCACCACGCTGGCTAATTTTTGTATTTTTAGTAGAGACGAGGCTTTGCCACATTGGCCAGGCTGGTCTCAAATTCCTGGCTTCAAGTGATCTGCCCACCTTGGCCTCCCCAAGTGCTGAGATTACAGGTGTGAGCCTCCTCACCCAGCCCCAATTGTGTCTTTTTTCCATGTTACTCAGAAAAGCAGTGCCGAGGGAATGTAGGAAGTTGGATGTGTTCATTATCTTGTTTGTGGTGATGATTTCACAGGTACATGCATATGGTGAAACTTATCAGACTGCATGCTTTGAAAACATGAAGTTTAGTGTTTGTCAATTAGACCTGAATAAAGCCTTGAGGAAAAACAGAAATGCATTTTCTTCAGGGGCCTCAAGGGCTCCAGGGAGAGGCCATCCTCCTGTCTTGGGGCAAAGCAGGTTTACTGTGGCCCATGGGTGTGGTGGTAGGGGACTCATAGGCTTAGAGAGCTTCTTTTTGCTCTTGTTGCCCAGGCTGGAGTGCAATAGCGCAATCTCAGCTCACCGCAACCTCTGCCTCCTGGGTTCAAGCACTTCTCCTGCCTCAGCTTCCCCAGTAGTTGGGATTACAGGCATGTGCCACCCCACTGTGCCCTGCCGAGTCTCAGGGTTTTTATAAGCACAAGATGGGGACTTGGTGGGCTGGGGTGGTCTTGGGAAATACAACATTTGGGCAGGAAAACAAAGATGCCTGTCCTTACCTAGGTCCATGGGCAGAGGCCTAGGGGTGGAGCCCTAGCCAGGGAACTTGCCCACCTCTACTCAGCACTTCCCTTCCCCCTTTCCATATCATTTAAGGGGACCACGACCTTCTCTTTCTGGCACTTCCCTTCCCATCTTCCATATCAATACCAACAGTGAGTGCTTTCTGTGAGTCACATGGTTTAATCCTTATGATCCTTTGCAAAATAGGCATAGTGGTCTCCTTTTACATTTTACAGAAGAGGAAGCTAAGGCCTGGGTTAGGTAGCTGCCTGACATTTTACTGTAAGTGCACTGTGTGCCCAAGCCCAGGGTTGTCTCATCTAGACCATTAAAGTCACATAGTGCTATGTGAGAAGACACTGAGCATCCAGCCCCAGCTCGCGACCTGGCTGAGCACTTGCCGGGTGTCTGCCTTCTCTTCCCACAGGCTCTCAGTTTCCTCGAGTCAATCCCTGATTAGTGGTATCAAGCTCAGCACTGTTTCCGTTGTACTTCATTCTTAATTCCCGGCGCTGTTGTAAGTACAAACTCTCTACTCTGGGAAATGATTAAATGATTCAGAGGTCTGAGGTTAAAGCAGAGCTGGCTGTGATCCCTGTTGCTCACTGGTTCCTTTTTCCCCAGGGAGGAGGATGGCAAGACAGCTTGTGGCCATGAGCCCTCCCCGGTGCTCCTGGGGCTAAGGCTGGGGCTGCAGCCATGGGACTAGGTTGGCCCCAGGCCTGGCTGCTGGGTCTGCCCACAGCTGTGGTCTATGGCTCCCTGGCCCTCTTCACCACCATCCTGCACAATGTCTTCCTGCTCTATTATGTGGACACCTTTGTCTCAGTGTACAAGATCAACAAAGCGGCCTTCTGGGTTGGAGAGGTAGGGCCAGGGTTGGTGGCCAACATGGGGGAGGGGGTGTGGTGGAGACTAGAGGGTACCCAGGCTGCCGGGCAGATTGCAGGTCCCGGGTCCCACCCAGTCGGGCATGGGCAGTCCAGGTTGTTCACCAAGACTCAGCAAGAAAAACTGTGGAGGTCTTTTTTTTTGATATGGAGTTTTGTTCTTGTTGCCCAGGCTGGAGTGCAGTGGCACGATCTCAGCTCAACGCAACCTCCGTCTCCTGGCTCCAAGCAATTCTCCTGCCTCAGCCTCCTGAGTAGCTGGAATTACAAGCATGTGCCATTACACCTGGCTAAATTTGTATTTTTAGTAGAGACAGGGTTTCTCCATGTTGGTCAGGCTGGTCTCAAACTCATGACCTCAGGTGATCTGCCCGCCTCCGCCTTCCAAAGTGCTGAGATTACAGGCCTGAGCCACTACACCCTGAAAAACTGTGGAGGTCTCAATGACTCTTCCTTGGTGGCGACTAGATCAGCTTTCCTGGCCACTGTCTTACATAGTCGAGGTTCTATAGACTCATAATATGTTCACATATATAAATTTATCAGCTGTACACATTTACCAGCTGGACTCTGGATGGGTAGGAGTTTGAGGGGAGCAGTGGCTTGACTGGCAGAATAGGTTTTTTTGGTTTTTTTTTGAGACGGAGTTTCATTCTTGTCGCCCAGGCTGGAGTGCAGTGGCACGATCTCAGCTCCCTGCAACCTCTGCCTTCCTGGTTCAAGCAATTCTCCTGCCCCAGCCTCCTGAGTAGCTGGGATTACAGGCATGTGCCACCATGCCCAGCTAATTTTTGTATTTTAGTTTACCAGGTTGGCCAGGCTGGTCTTGAACTCCTGACCTCAGGTGAGCCACCCACCTTGGCCTCCCAAAGTGTTGGGATTACAGGTGTGAACCACCATGCCTGGCCAGAGTGGGTTTTAGCAGAGGAATTGACATGAGCAAAGGTGTGCAGGTAGAAAAGCTGGTGCCATCTTTGAGGGCTGGTGAGCAGTCTGGGGTGGAGGACCCCTGGAGGGGAGGCTGCCTAGAGCCCACCTGCCCATCTCCCCTCTGCCTGCAGACGGTGTTTCTCCTCTGGAATAGCCTGAATGACCCCCTCTTCGGCTGGCTCAGCGATCGGCAGTTCCTCAGCTCCCAGCCCCGGTTGGTATATTGGGAATAGCTCGTAATTGGTTCAGTACCACCCTACTGCTACTGTGTTTTGGATGGGGAAGGAAGGGGAGACTATTTCAGTGTTGCCCATGCCCCTTCCCTTCCTGGGGTCCAGGTTTGGGTTGGAGAGGTGGCCTTGGATACACCCTTGCCTGGCTCAGCAGGGGAAGAGACCTACCTCGGCTTGGCTTGGCTGGTCCCTCTGGACCCTAGATTGCAAACACCCTCTGCTGCTTCTGGAAGATTCCTTTGCCCCATCCCTGCTGGAGTCTATCATCACCCCTAACCTTGAGAAGTGGGCATCCCATACACTTTGGCCATTGGCCTGACAGGCTAGTTAGGGGGTGGAAATTGGAGCAGAGGAGGGAGTGTACCCAGTGATGAGTTGTGCTTCCCAAATTGTAGGCTGGGGGCTGGGGGGACAGTGGGACCACCCTGTTGTGAGTCCCATACCCTGGGCCTCCATCCATCCCCTGGGGCCTGGGCAAGGGGAACTGCGGCCTGCCAAGGCTGACAGAGCATGTCTCAACAGCCCTCCTTTCCCTGGCAGGTCAGGCACCAGGCTCTCCTCAAGGGCTGTGGTGCTGGCCCGGGTGCGGGCCCTGGGCTGGCATGGGCCGCTGCTGGCGCTGGCGTTCCTGGCATTCTGGGTGCCCTGGGCCCCAGCCGGCCTGCAGTTCTTGCTGTGCCTGTGCCTCTATGACGGCTTCCTGACGCTCGTGGACCTGCACCACCACGCCTTGCTGGCCGACCTGGCCCTCTCAGCCCACGACCGCACCCACCTCAACTTCTACTGCTCCCTCTTCAGCGCGGCCGGCTCCCTGTCTGTCTTTGCCTCCTATGCCTTTTGGAACAAGGAGGATTTCTCCTCCTTCCGTGCTTTCTGCGTGACACTGGCTGTCAGCTCTGGGCTGGGCTTTCTGGGGGCCACGCAGCTGCTGAGATGGCGGGTTGAGGCGGCCCGAAGGGACCCAGGGTGCTCAGGCCTGACTGTGGATAGCGGGTGAGTGGTCAGCCTCGGCTCTTCAGGTCCTCACCAGCAACCTTCTAAATCTGATTTTGGTGCTGGGTCCCTGGCTGATGGGGGCTGCCCTGGGCTGTGTTGGGGGATAACTGGCCAGCCCCAGGCAGTTCTCCACTCTTTTCTGCCCCACAGCCTGTGTGGAGAGGAGCTGCTTGTGGGCAGTGAGGAGGTGGACGGCATCACCTTGGGCCAATATCTCCGGCAGCTGGCACACCATCGGAACTTCCTGTGGTTCGTGAGCATGGACCTGGTGCAGGTATGGGGAGCAGCTCCTGGCCCCTCTTCAGCTGGCTATGCTTCACTCAAGGGGACAGACTCCTCAAGAGCTGGGAACTCTGCCAGGCATGGTGGCTTATGCCTGTAGTCCCAGTACTTTGGGAGGCAGAGGTAGGTGGATCACTTGAGGTCAGCAGTTTGAGACCACCCTGGCTAACATGGCAAAACCCCATAAAAATACAAAAATTGGCTGAGTGTGTTGGCTCAAGCCCGTAATCCCAGCACTTTGGGAGGCCGAGGTGGGTGAATCACAAGGTCAGGAGTTCAAGACCAGCCTGGCCAACATAGTGAAACCCTGTCTCTACTAAATATACAAAAATGAGCCAGGCGTGGTGATGCACATCTATAATCCCAGCTACTTGGGAGGCTGAGGCAGGAGAATCACTTGAATCCCTAAGGCGGAGGTTGCAGTGAGCTGAGATGGCACCACTGCACTCCAGCCTGGGCAACAGAGTCAGACACTCCTTCTCAAAAAACAAAAAAAAGGTGAGAACTGAGTTCCAGGCCACCCAGGAGGTCTGCCGGGCGAGTCAATGGCAGGAATGCAGGTTGGTAGTCAGGAGGCCTGGATTCTAGCTCCCTCTGAGCTATTCCCTCCCTGTGTGATCTTAGGCAGGTCTCAGGCTTTCTGGGTAGCGCCGTCCTCTCCTGTAAAGTGAGGATATGAGACAGAGATGCCCCTTTGGGGACTCTGTAACAATCTTTTTAAGACATCAAGGGCTGTCAGGTGCAGTCGCTCACACCTGTAATCCCAGCACTTTGGGACACCAAGGTGGGAAGATTGCTTGAGCCCAGGAGTTTGAGGCTGCAGTGAGCTGTGATTGTACCACTGCACTCCAGCCTGGGTGGCAGAGCAAGACTCTATCTCTAAAAAAAAGAAAAGCCAAGTGCTGTACCTAAAACATGTAGTATATAAACTAGCTGAATTTAGAAATAAACTGTTCTCATGCTATAAAATTTGTTTTCCTAATGTGTTTTCTTTTTCTTTTTTTTTTTTTTTGAGACAGGGTCTTACTCTGTTGCCCAGGCTGGAGTGCAGTGGCAGCAATCCTGGCTCACTGCAACCTCTGCTTCCCACGTTCAAGTGATTCTCCCACCTCAGCCTCCCGAGTAGCTGGGATTACAGGCACACACCACCACGCCTGACTAATTTTTTTGTATTTTTAGTAGAGACAGGTTTCACCATGTTGGCCAGGCTGGTCTCAAACTCCTGGCCTTAAGTGATCTGCCTGCCTTGGCCTCCCGAAGTGTTAGGTGCTAGGATTACATACGCGATCCACTGTGCCCAGCTTCACTAATGTGTTTTCAACTAAAAAGAAAAAACTTTTCATTGCTCCAATATGAATTTGTCATGCCTTCTAACTTTTTAGCAAAGTCAGATAGCAACAGGAATGTGGTTTTAGATTGTGTTCTGGCATGTTCTGTGTTAGGGAGATGGGGAAAAAGTCCTGCTCTCATTCTTGCTGCTCTGATGATAGGGGCTAGGGGTAGGGGGAATGTGTGCTCCCCTGTTGACTTCCGGCTTTGTCAGCTCCCCCTTGCCCCCCGAAGCCTCCTCACTGTCCCTGTTGGGTTGCAGGTCTTCCACTGCCACTTCAACAGCAACTTCTTCCCCCTCTTCCTGGAGCATCTGTTGTCCGACCATATCTCCCTTTCCACGGGCTCCATCCTGTTGGGTAAGTGGGGTCCTCAGGTGCTTCATGCAGGCTGGAAGGACAGAGGCTTGCACCCCAGAAACCCTAGTCCAGCTGTGGGCATGGCCACCTCACCTGCTGGGACCCTGGTGGCAGAGGGTAGGGAGGAATCTGTTGCGGGAGTTGCACCTCCTAGCCCCCAGCTATTCCCCCCAGGAAGGGGTGGACAATCTTTTTAAGACACCAAGTGCAGGCCAGTGCGGTGGCTCAAGCCTGTAATCCCAGCACTTTGGGAGGCTGAGGTGGGTGGATCATGTCAGCAGATGGACACCATCCTGGCCAACATGGTGAAACCCTGTCTCTACTAAAAATACAAAAATTAGCTGGGCATGGTGGCGACAGCCTATAATCCCAGCTACTCGGGAGGCTGAGGCAGGAGAATCGCTCCAGGAGGCAGAGGTTGCAGTGAGACGAGATGGCGCCACTCCAGCCTGGCGACAGAGCAAGACTCTGTCTCAAAAAAAAAAAAAGACACCAAGTGCTGCTGGGTGCAGTGGGCATGGGGGGGCAGGGTGTGGTGGGGGTTGGTGGGGGGCGAGGTGGGGAGGCTGCGTTGGTGTTGGTCCTCTTGGAGATGGTATTGCCCGAGGGGATGTGGTGCAGTGGCTGGTTAACAGCAAGGAGTATCGTCTGATGGGCTTGGGTGTGAGTCTTGACTCTGCTTATCTGGTGGGTGGCCTCGGGTGGGTTAGTTTATCTTTTTGGGCCTCTTTCATCTGTAAAGTGGGGATGATATTAGTACTCACCTTAAGGGGCTGTGAGGATGAACCAAGACCGCGAAGCCCTCAGCAAAGAGCCCAGTGTATCGCTAGTGTACAGGAATGCAGTTGGCCGTGAAGCTGATGGCGCTCATTGGCACTGTGGCAGTGCCCTTGACAAGGCCGGGCCCCGTCTTCTTCCCCAGGTCTCTCCTATGTCGCTCCTCATCTCAACAACCTCTACTTCCTGTCCCTGTGCCGGCGCTGGGGCATCTACGCGGTGGTGCGGGGGCTCTTCCTGCTCAAGCTGGGCCTTAGCCTGCTCATGCTGTTGGCTGGCCCGGACCACCTTGGCCTGCTGTGCGTCTTCATTGCCAGGTACATCCCTGCCCACCCTCCCCTCAACACCTCCGTCCCACACCTTCATTCCTACCTCTCCCTCCCTCCACTGCAGCAACCGCGTCTTCACTGAGGGCACCTGTAAGCTGCTGACCTTGGTGGTCACTGACCTGGTAGACGAGGATCTGGTGCTGAACCACCGCAAGCAAGCAGCCTCGGCACTCCTCTTTGGCATGGTTGCCCTGGTGACCAAGCCAGGCCAGACCTTTGCCCCACTGCTGGGCACCTGGCTGCTCTGTTTCTATACAGGTGAGGGCAGGCAAAGGGCTCTTAAGGCTCCAGGGGGCACAGCTGACCTGGCACACTGACTGGCAAGCCTGGGCTCTAGGTGTAGTGAGGGAGGGTGGCAACCGGTGCCCCCCACATGGCTAGAGTCACTGGGTCACAGATTCCTCCATGCTTTCTTAGTTTATTCATTTATTCATTCATTCAACATATATGTACGGAATTTCTTCTCTGTAGGCCCTGGTCTAGGTGCCAGGGAGCTAACCATGAATAAGATAGACAAGGTCCTTGCCACCGTGGAGCTTGCATTCTAGTCAGGGGTGGGGTGGGGTTGGGAATAAACAGCCAAACAAGACATTATCAGGCAATGATAGTGTTATGCTGAAATTGGGGTGATGTAAGGTGGCATGAATGAGAAGCTATGCCATGTCATCAGGGAAGGCCTCTCCGAGAAGGTGACCCTCGGATGTGAGCTGAATGGCAAGGATTTGTCTAGAAAAGGTCTCAGTGAGAGGCAGAGGGAACAGCAGGTGCAAAGGCCCAGGGTATCAAGTGTGATCCATTAGGAGATGCAGCTGGAAAAGTGAAGAGGGCTTTGTTGATCAAGGCAGTGCTAGAAGCAAGCTGTTGGAAGGGTTTTATTTTATTTTTTGAGATGGTGTCTCCCTGTCACCCAGGTTGGAGTGCAGTGGTACGATCTTGGCTCACTGCAGCCTTGACCTCCCAGGTTCAAGTGAGCCTGACACCTCAGCCTCCCAAGTAGTTGGGACAAGCACATGTTACCATGCCCAGCTAACTTTTTGTATTTTATGTAGAGACAGGGTTTTGCCAGGTTGCCCAGGCTGGTCTTGAACTCCTCAGCTCAGGTGATCTGCCCACCTCAGCCTCCCAAAGTGCTGGATTACAGGCATGAGCCACCATGCCTGGTTAGGGAGGGTTTTAAACAGGGAAGTGACATGGTGTGATTGACTTTTTTTTTTTTTAAAGATGGGGTTTCACCATGATGGCCAGGCTGGTCTTGAACTCCTGACCTCAGGTGATCCACCCACCTTGGCCTCCCAAAGTGCTAGGATTACAGGCGTGAGCCACCACGTCCGGCCGTGACTGACTTTTTAACAAAATTCTCTCTGGGCTGGGTGAGGTGGCTCATGCCTATAATTCCAGCACTTTAGGAGGGTGAGGTGGGGAGGTATTGAAGACCAGCCTGGCCAACATACAGTGGAACCCCCATCTCTACTAAAAAATGCAAAAATTAGCTGGGCTTGGTGGCACATACTTGGAAAGCTGAGGCAGGAGAATCGATTGAACTCAGGAGGTGGAAGTAACAGTGAGCTGAGATCGTGCCACTGCACTCCAGCCTGGGCAATAGAGTGAGACTCCACCTCAAAAAAAAAAAAAATTCACTCTGGCTGCCATATGGACAGCAGATCATAGGGAGGCCAGAATGGGGACAGCAGGGAGATCTTTGGGAGACTGTGGCAGAGGCCATGGAGACTTGGACCAGGGTGGTGGCAGGTGGGATATGTTTTGGAGTTGGAGAGAGATGGCGTGAACTGAATCAGGAAACTGAGGAGGACTTTGAGGTTTTGGGCCTGAGTTATTGGGTGGATGGTGGTGCCTGTCACTGAGACAGGAAGAGTAGGAGAGGAGCGGGTTTGGGGGAATCAGGAGTTGTGATCTGGACATACCCATGTGGTGTTGAGATGTCACACCATGGACTTGGAAGGCACTAAGGCTTGGAGGGCAGTGGGTTGACCATGGTTTTCTGTACTCTTTTGTCCTAGGTCATGACCTCTTCCAGCAGTCCCTGATAACCCCTGTGGGGAGTGCCCATCCCTGGCCAGAGCCCCCAGCTCCAGCCCCTGCACGAGCCCCAACGCTCCGCCAGGGCTGCTTCTACCTGCTGGTGCTGGTGCCCATCACCTGTGCGCTGCTTCAGCTCTTCACCTGGTCCCAGTTCACGCTGCACGGGAGACGCCTGCACATGGTCAAGGCCCAGCGCCAGAACCTGTCACAGGCCCAAACCCAGGATGTTAAGATGGTGTGAGAGGTGTGGCAAGGCCAAGGCCACCCCACTGAGGATGGTGCTGGCAGCCTGGGGCAGAAGCCATTTTTTAAGGATTTCATTGTTTTGTTTCGTTTTGTTTTGAGATGAAGTCTCAATCTGTTGCCCAGGCTGGAGTGCAGTGGTGCAATCTGGGCTCACTGCAACCTCTGCCTCCCAGGTTCAAGCGATTCTCCTGCCTCAGCCTCCTGAGCAGCTGGGATTATAGGGTGTGCCACCACACCCAATTAGTTTTTGTATTTTTAGTAGAGACAGGGTTTCATCATGTTGGCCCGGCTAGTCTTGAACCCCAGACCTCAAGTGATCCGCCCAATCCCAAACTGCTGGGATTACAGGTGTGAGCCACTGCACCTAGCCTAATTTTTGTATTTTTAGTAGAGATGGGGTTTCACCATGTTGGCCGGGCTAGTCTCAAACTCATGACCTCAAGTGATCTGCCTGCCTCTGTCTCCCAAAGTGCTAGGAATACATGTGTGAGCCACTGCGCCCGGCCAGGAGCCAGTTTTACCCGCATCCTGCTCCACCACTTTCCTCCAGTGCAGCCTAGAGGACATGGCAGCGGGGAGCTCCTGGAACTGAGCCAGGGGCATCACTGTGGTCTAAGTCCCTGCTTAGCTGTCTGGCTCAGCTTGGGCAAGGGCTGGGCTGTATGTGCTCAGGGATGTGATTCTCTAGTGGGGCAGGAGAAAAGAAGAGGACCAAGAAGGGATGGGGCTGCCCTGTGGCACACACAGGTCTGCCATGGGGCATGGAAGGCCACCCCACTTCCTGGCCGGAGCTGGCCGCTGTGGTGGGCTCACTTTTGATACTACAACTGCTCCCTTTTTCCCAGTCAGGGAAAGCTGACTGTAAGTCCCACCTCCCCCTTGGTCCACCCTTCTAGTGGTTTCTCTCAGAAGGTTCTCTGCTTCAGCTGTGCTTGAAGTGGCATGGCTCCTTTGTTGCAAGGCTCCCCACCCCCACACAGCCTCTAAAGATGTTTATTTCCTTACAGACTTGATTAAAGTCAGCCATTCTTTTTCCTCATGTCTGTATTTTGCGAGTGAGTGGTGGATTGCTGGGATTGAGAACCAGGATTCCTTACTGACTAGAAAAAGCCCCTGAGAGCATTTTTTCTGAATAAGAGTGGTAGGTAGGCTGGGCACGGTGGCTCAAGCGTGTAATCCCAGCTTGAGCCACCTTTCACTTTAGGAGGCTGAGGTGGATCACCTGAGGTCGAGTTTGAGACCAGCCTGGCCAACATGGCAAAACCCCATCTCTACTAAAAATACAAAAAGTAACTGGGCATGGTGGCATGCGCCTGTAATCCCAGCTACTCGGGAGGCTGAGGCAGGAGAATTGCTTGAACTCAGAAGGAGGAGGTTGCATTGAGCCGACATCATGCCACTGCGTCCACTCCAACCTGGGTGACAGAGCAAGACTCTGTCACACACACACACACAAAGAATGGTGGGTTACCAAGGTACTAGGGAGAAAAAGATTGGTAACTGCATAGACACTGGGCCCAAAATGACCGTCAGGCCTGGAGCCAGCAGCCTCAGTGCATTTCCCACGTACCACTGCTGGGCATGACAGTCAGAGAGGAGCCTCTTTCAGGCCCAAGGTTCTCAGCCTTAGGGTCACCTTTGGAGCTCAAAAAATACCGACATCTGAATTCTGTTCCTTGGGATTCTGACTTAATGGGTCTGGGGTATGGCCTGGGCAGTGGGATTTGGAACATTGCTGTAGGTGATTTTGCCATGCAGCTGGGGCTGAAAACCAAGGCTCTCAGAAACCATTTATCAAACTTGGCACTAGAGATATTTGGGGCCAGATATTTCTCTATTGTAGACGTTTAGCACTTCTCCCCCCAACCAGTTGTAACAACCAAATATATCTCCAGGCATTGCTAGATGTGTCCTGGGAGGCAAAATTGGTCCCAGTTGGGAACCACTGCTCTGGGCCAATGTTTTTTTACAGTCTGCGTAGTAATTAAAAATGTAGGCTTAGGCTGTATGGCCTGGGCTTACATCCTAGATTAATAAAAGCCAGTGCTGGGTGCGGTGGCTCACACGTGTAATCCCAGCACTTTGGGAGGCCAAAGAGGGCAGATCACCTGAGGTCAGAAGTTCAAGACCAGCCTGGCCAACATGGTGAAACCCTGTATCTATTAAAAATACAAAAATTAGCTGGGCCTGGTGGCAGGCACCTGTATTTGGGAGGCTGAGGCAGGAGAATCGCTTGAACCCGGGAAGCAGAGGTTGCAGTGAGCAGAAATCAAGATCGCACCACTGTATTCCAGCCTGGGCAACAAAGCGAGTCTTCTCAAACAAAAAAAAGGGGAGGGGGCACAGAACTTTGGGAAACTGTTTAATCTTTCTGTGGCTCCAAATCCTTATCTGTAAAATGGACAATAAAAGCACATATACTTTGTAAGGCTACCAGGAAGATTAAAATAGGTTACCATTTGTCAAGCACCTGGCAATTTTCCTCCCAAGTGAAGTTTTTAAGTGGAGAAGTGATTAATCAGGATATTTGGGTGTAGGCCCTGGAAACTGCATTGTAATAAGCTCCCAGCCTTCTGGTTTTTTGGTTTGTTTTGAGATGGAGTCTCACTCTGTCGCCCAGGCTGGAGTGCAATGGCATGATCTTGGCTAACCCCACCCCTGCCTCCCGGGTTCCTGCCTCAGCCTCCCGAGTAGCTGGGATTACAGGCATATGGCACCACACCCGGCTAATTTTTTTGTATTTTTAATAGGAATGGAGTTTTACCATGTTGGTCAGGCCAGTCTCAAACCTCTGACCTCATAATCCACCTGCCTCAGCCTCCCAAAATGCTGGGATTACACGTGTGAGCCACTGCGTGCATCCAAGCTCCTGGCCTTCTTATACACATGACAGTTTTGAGAATCTCTGATTTCAGGGATGTCAAGAGCTGCTCCTGTCATCTGGAGTTGAGTCTCACCGTTGGGCTTGAATGTACACAAGAGTGGGAACCTCTGCTCTTGAACTTGGGCTGCATCCACCTGATAGGCTGGGACTTGGGCTATGCCCTGAACAAGGCTGGCTGGTGCAACGATGCCCTCTAGAGGATGGATCAGGCCCAATCACCACCTCAGATTCAGGGCCTATCACTCGTCTCTCTTCCCACTTGGCCTTGGTGACAGACAGAGGCCCAGCTGATGTGTCTATCAGAACGACTTTATTTCAGTACACTGGGCCCCACCAGGCAATGTGGTTTGTGCGAGGCTGTGCGAGGGACAGGCTTGGGCTAAGAGAAGGGAGGTGAGTTGGTTAAGCGCACTGCAGTCCGCGGGGCGCTATATCGCTTTCACACACACCTGCTGCTGTGGCCCACACCTGGCAGGGGCCTTTGGTCATAGGACGGCGTGGGGGAGAACGCTGCGTGGAGTCTGGGATTGGGGTGGGTCAGAGGTGAGCGTGCCGGTGAAGACAGGCTGGCCCCAGCTTTGTACCATCTGGGTTGAAGGCCTTTGGATCACTCCTAGGAGTCAGGCCTGGCTCCATTAGCTCCTGGCACTCTGGTCTGGCCCTCTCCCTCCTTAACCAACCAGGTCCAAGGTCAAGAATGGCACAAAATCAGCCCAGAGGGGCCTTCCCACCTCTATAACCTAGTCCCCTGGTCAGCTACAGTGGCAAAAGGCAACTTGGTTAATTGCAGCTTTCTCCAGTCCTAAGGGCACGGGCTCTCCAACATCCCTCCCTTGCTTAGGGGCCTCTGCCAAAGAAAAATTCTACCTCCTGTTTCAGAAAATCTAACCAGCAACCAGCCTGTTGATTCCAGGGCAGTGAGCAAAAGGAAGAGGGAGAAAGAGGCTGGTGGGCATGTCTTTGAGTGTAGCTTCCAATCTCAAATGGTCCTGCAGCCTGTGGACCCTGTCTTCTCACCATCAGCAGGGAGAGGCGGGGCCCTGGAGGCTAGGCTAAGCTCAGGTGCTGTAAACATTAGTGAGGCAGGGTGGGAGGCAGCAAGTTCCCTCTCTCCAGCCCCTTACTGAACAAACACTTCAATAAATAAAACTGTCTGAAGATGGCATTGCAATAAGAACAGATGGAAAGCGAGGACCTGGAACCAGCAGGCGCCTTAAACTCTCCCAAGGCCCCCGGAAGGGGACTGGACTGGGAACATTAACTCTGCAGCCACTCAGAGGGAGGACTGTTCCTGCTCTCCTCCAGTGGCTGGTGTGGTCTTGTTCCCTGGTGAACATGAAGGCCTCCTGCTCTCTCCTGACTCCAGTCTCTGTAATAGCTCTTGGGGTGCTTTTCCAGCCTCCCAAACTAAAATGGCAACAAAATCAGACAGAACTCAACCCCAGCCCGTCTTCAATGTGTGGTCAGGAGGCATCGATAGCAGAGTGACCAGCAAGGGGAGGCAGCAGCTGCCTGGGGCCTCAGGGCATCCTGGGGGGTGGGGGTGAGGGTAGGGCCAGCCCAGCCTAGGATGGGCAGCAGCAAGGTCTCCCAGGGGGTGGCTTACCTCCCTCTCTCTCCCTGTGGTAGTAAACGAAGTCCCCCATAGCCAGCCAGAGGCCCACCTGAGGAGGGAGTGCAGCCTCTGCCAGCGCTCTTCCCTGTCAGGAGCCAGTTAGTGGTCAACCCCAGGCCTCAGGCTGTCACCATCGCAGGTAGTTCATCGTCCTTTCTGGGCCCGGGGTCCCTGGGCCACATGGCACTCGCATGCGCGCACACACTCGTACCCACACACGTACTCACACACACACAGGCAGTTCCTCGCAAACACTCCCGACTCAAGAAAGCGAGTTTTAAAGTGGAGTTAACTTCAGAGAGAGGTGAAGATGATGTCCCAACATTAGAAGGTTTTCCTGTGGATGGATCGGGCACCGTCTTCCTCATATTCCTTCTTGGAGACCCACATCTTCTTAAAGGTGTCCAGGGAGGCAAGGATGGAGCCCCTGGAGGAAGGAAACCAAGAGGAACGGTGTGAGAGAGAAGTGGGTGTGTGTGTGGAGCCTGCCAGTCCCCTAGGGTCAAATCAAATCAGAGTTTTCTTTAGAGGGACAGGGTGCTGAGGAGTTATCAGTGCCATCACTTCCTGTTACGTTCTCACTCCCAGAAGAGCTA